AGAAGAGCAGGAGAACTGATATCACCTCACTGACAATAAGGGAACGTTTATTGATATTTACTTGTTAGGTGGGAGATGCCTTTTTCATTGTCCCTGACCGTAACAAGACGCTGCATTCATTCGTGTTTATCCAACACGAGGGCCAAAACAGTCCACTACATGGTCAATGCAGAGGTATTTGTGCCCATGGAAATTGTGAGGAGCGTGTTGGGCCCATTGTTTTGGGACTTGGTAACACCTGTATACATCAGGTAGGCTTTTGCGTCAGTCGGGATCTTTTACACGTGCCCCAAACGATCGATTTGAAGGCCCCCCAATACTGAATGATTCTCTTCTTGAATTGTACGTTTGCCGTATCGTACCTTACTATGGAATAAAGGTTTTGCTATAAGTTATCATTTTTGGGGGGCGTTAATTCCATGCCAAGTGTTTCAGAATTCGAATATGCACAAAATAAAATCCATCCATAATCCCGCTACCGTTACGAAGCAGTAGTGGGCAGGAGGCCTAGGTTGGGCTTAGCCCTGGGGGATACTCCTGCAGGCGCCTAGAACTGGCTGTACGTGTACGATCTCATCAAAAAGAGAGATGTCATTAGCGATATGCACTTGGCATTCAAACTCGTCAACGTGTATGTCGGATTACTAGCACGTTTACGTTTATAATTGCTTTCTCGGAGCCTTTTGATGGTTTTTGCACGGCGTACGCGTTTTCTAAGTAAATACATGTTTGAGGGCAATTTGAGCGATTCTGACACTTGATGTATTTCGGTTCATCCCGGCATCCGTCCTTTCTGCGCACTAGATTTAAAGAACGGCTACATACAGGCAGCACCTCTACCTACAGACACCTGATTATTCACCTGACTTGTGTTGATCAAATGATTCCTTTCATTCCATCCAGTCAGTAATTCCGCCTGCCATTATTGCCAATCACACGCTCCATCAACAAATTATGCCTAAGCAGGATTATCCTGGGGACGAGTGTCGCTGTCATGGCAACAGAGACTAAGAAGTGCCTAAGTTTCAATGTAACTAAGGACTAAATAATCCTCGATCTAAGCCATGACACCTGCAAGTTAACGTTACCCATGACCGGTCCGAGAGACTCGATCGTGTAGCGCAAAAATCCTGGCATCACTGACCGTTTAATAGACAGATTGATACGAGCACGTAATATGTCGTATGAAATATATCACAGAAAGGTTTGTACAACGAATCAATAACATTCCAAATATCTGACACAACCTTTCACAACTGCCTTTGTACAATGCCGGGCAAAGTGCGTCAGTGTGTGCGTTTGACTTTCAAAGTACGCAAGAGCAATCACTGTTACCAGTCACAGAAGACGAGAAACAATAGCAAGCAAGCAAGGAGCATCGGCTGGTATGCGAGGTTTACAAGTTATTCTCAGCCTGCGATCAAATGTTTTGTCTACCATTCCATCTCTACTTTCAAAGGGAATCCACAGGAAGTTGTTTAATTGGCCTCGCACAGACGAATAGTATTGATACGAAATCTTGTACTCGCAACATATCCTGGCTATAACGTGCTTTCCAAAAGAAACTCGCAAACAGCTGCTCTGGAGAAGGGAATAACCTGTGTATTTTCTCACCGTACATGCGTTTTCATTTTCTCAACGCATTGAACACTGTGGATTTCCATTTAAGATGTGAAATTTGAAATGATAGCAGAAATGTGAGAAATGTCAATACAGTCTATAATTTGATGCTAATCAATAGATCGGTGGAGGAATACAATACCATTACCTGGAATCTGGATACAGTGTATTTCAGACAATAGGTGTCAGTCAACAATTGAAAGCGCTACCCTGCGATCTTGATCTGAAATGCAGTCAGGAACTGTGGCAGAGGCTGATTGCTGAGGTATATACAGTGCATACATTACGTCAATATGTCCACTATTTTAATTTCCTGTATCCTAGAGGATATATTGACAGGGTTTTTAACTGTCGACATGAAATTAGGTCTTTCATTCTCGAACGATAATTTCTTGTGAAGAAAATGTGCGGTCACTGACTTACACTTCTACACTGACAATGAACACCTATTATTAGGTACAACGTAAAATGTGTAATTACGATACAAAACTTGATAGGCAAGAGTGCAGTTTAAGTTGGCATAGCGTAATTTAGGAAGTAAATTATGACCCCCTACTTGACCTTGGGACTGTAAGATCTGACTTTGTTTGGTCACATTTCTTTCAGTCAATGTGTCCTCTGTGAAATGTTGATAGATGGTTGTGTAATCACAAGTGCAATCTTGACCTAACAGAAAGGTGAGGAAATAACGCACGTGGTTACCATGGAAACATGACGTGGTCAAAAGCGTTGCGTCAGCGGACTGTCAGATTTTGGTCCGCGTAAGTACGGTTGAAGGTAACGATATTCCGACTTCTGTGAAGTCATATTCTTGTCACGTCCTCTTGCATCTAGACAAGAGACACCGCCACTGCACCACGTGAGAGTGTCGTGACTGATAAAAACGTGAAGTGGTTTTGTCAAGTGAAGAATAAGGAGTCCCTTATCCGGGATCTTTTCCCTTTGGCATAGAAAATATCTCTCTCGTAGCATATCATTGGAATCGAACAGGTTCCACCCCCTACGGCGGATCCAATAAACACTAGATAAAAGATCACTTCAACAAATTCGTTGCCATGGCAACAACGTCTCAGTAACCGACAGACTAACTGATTGTAGGTAATTACAAAGGTGCCATCATGATATATATCTTGCCTATCGCCAGGTGTATATGTCGAGTGTATGTCATTAGTCGTCGTACCATTGTCCGAGGCATTTCAGTTTTCTGTTCCTTAAGTGTTTAGCTACTAATCATGTACTGAACTTGCTATGTGATTTATGGTTCTCGCTAGTTTCACGGTTATTTATAATATGCATATTTGATAGCAACTGGAAGCA